CCAACTAAACACTAGAGAAGATGTTCAAAATTCCTGCCTTGTGCATATAAGTAAGCTCGTAATGTTTCCAATTTTCATAATTTTTTGTAAAAGTTTGTCATCAGTACTTGCTAAGTTAAAACTGATTTTGCCAATGACATACCCTCTAAGAAAAGAGAGGGTGGGTGGGCGGGGATAGTACCTGCTAAGATAAGAGTGATTTTGGCAAATAAAATACCCCGTATGAAAAGAGAGGGTGGGTGGGCGGGGCTAGTACTTGCTAAGATAAGAGTGATCCTCAAATCTTCAAATTCCCAAAATCCTCAAATCTCCAAATTCTTAAATCACCAAATCTTCAAATCTTCAAATCTTTAAAATCCTTAAATCACTAAATCCTCACCTGTCTTAGAAAACACCTACACAATTAATATAGTTGAGGATTTGAAGATTTGAGAATTCTCGAAAGCACCCACTCCCAAAAAATACACTGAGAGTATGCCTATTGCAACATAGATAGATAATAACCTACACCATGATTTGAGGATTTTAAGGATTTGGTGATTTGAGGATTTTCAGAATTTGAAACGTTGAGGATTTGGTACTGATCTCAAGATTTAGTTATTTGAGGATTTTGAGAATTTGAAGAGTTGAGAATTTTCGAAGGCAGTAATGCCTAAAAGAATACAATGGAAGTATGCGCATTTGGTAAGGAATTGAAAATTTGAGGGTTTGGTGATTTGAGAATTTATTTGGTAATGATTTGAGGATTTGGTGTTGATTTGAAGATGTGTTGATTTGAGGATTTTGAGAATTTGAAGATTGAGAATTTTCGAATACACAAAGGCCAAAAAATCTAGCGAAAATATAGCCATTGCAACCAGATAATCTAGATGGCTGTTAATAATTAGCTGTAGATAATTAATATATAAGCATCACGTCAGGATTTGTTATTGATTTGAGAATTTGGTGATTCGATGATTTTGAAGATTTATGGACTTGAAATTTTTTTGACGATTTGGTATTGGTTTGAGGATTTGCTGATTTAAAGATTTTGAAGATTTGGGGATTCTCTAATACACGAAGGCTCAAAAAAAAAAAACAGTGAAAATTTGGCCATTGCTACCAGATAATTTTTTTGGAGTTGTCTTCTAAGACTAGTACCTGCTAAGATAAGAGTGATTTTGGCAAATAAAATACCCCGTAAAAAAAGAAACGGTGGGTGGGCGGGGCTAGTACCTGCTAAGATAAGAGTGATCTTAAATTCTTCAAATTCTCAAAATCCTCAAATCTCCAAATTCTTAAATCACCAAAACTTCAAGTTCTCAAATCTTTAAAATCTTGAAATCACCAAATCCTCACCTGTATAAATGATCTAGGTGTCTTCTAACTAGGACTCGCAATTTACATTTAACAACCAAATAAATTATCTGGTAGCAATGGCCAAATTTTCACTGTATTTTTTTTGAGCCTTAGTGTATTAGAAAATCCCCAAATCTTCAAAATCTTTAAATCACCTAATCTTCAAATCAATACCAAATCGTCAAAAAAATCTTCAAGTTCTCAAATCTTCAAAATCCTCAAATCAATAGCAAATCCTCACCTGATGCTTATTTATTAATTACCTACAGCTAATTATTAACAGCCGTCTAGATTATCAGGTTGCAATGGCCATATTTTCACTATATTTTTTGGCTTTAGTGTATTCGAAAATTCTCAATATTGAAATTCTCAAAATCCTCAAATCGACACATCTTCGAATCAATACCAAATCCTCAAATCATTACCAAATAAATTCTCAAATCACCAATTCCTTACCAGATGCTCATACTTTCATTGTATTCTTTTAGGCATTAGTGCCTTCGAAAATTCTCAACTCTTCAAATTCTCAAAATCCTCACATCACCAAATCCTCAAATATTGAAATCAATACCAAATTCTCAAATCTTCAAAATTCTTAAATAACCAAATCCTCGACTCTTCAAATTCTGAAAATCCTCAAATCACCAAATCCTCAAAATCCTCAAATCATGATGTAGATTATTAATATTATCTATCAATGTTGCAATGGCCAAACTTTTAGTGTATTTTTTGGGCGCGGGTGCTTTCGAGAATTCTTAAATCTTCAAATCTTCAAACTCCTCAAATCACCAAATCCTCATATGTAGGTGTCTTCTAAGACTCGCAGTTTACATTTAACAACCATCTAGGTTATCTGGTTGCAATGGCCATATTTTCATTGTATTTCTTTGAGCCTTAGTGTATTCGAAAATCCTGAAATCTTCAACTTCTCAAAATCCTCAAATCTTCAAAATCCTTAAATTACCAAATCCTCAAATCAATACCAAATCCTCAGATCTTCAAAATCCTCGAATCGCCAAATTTTCAAATCCTCAAAATCCTCATATCACCAAATCCTTAAATCACTAAATCCTCGAATCACCAAACTCGCCAATCAATATGAAATCCTCTCCAGATGCTCATATATGTCTGCTTCGGCTGGCAATTTATATTTAACCGTCTTCTAGATTATATGGTTGCAATGACCATACGTCCACTGTATTTTTTTGAGCATTAATGCGTTCGAAAATTCTCAAATCTTCAAATATTTAAATCAATACCACATCCTAAAATCCTCAAATCTTCAAATCCTGAAAATCGTGGGGACTTCGTGTTTTATTTTTTAAAGAACTTCAAAAGATCTTGTGGGCTCCTGGTGTCTTGATTTTAAGAACGTGGAAGAATCTTTGGGACCAGTTGTGTACATATTTTTTTTTTAAAGAGTGAGAAAGAATTTTAGACACCAGTCGTAGATTTTTTTTAAATATGAAATAATTTAGGGGTCCCCTGTCGAACTTTGCATTTAAGTCCCCCCCCCCCCATTCTCACGATGAATAAAAAAATTAATCACAATTGAGTTGGGGCGGGTGGGTGGGGCTTATCCTTTGATGTTTTTTCGTAATATGCTAGTCTACTTTCAACACCAAAATACTTAAAATAAAGAGTGAATTTGAGATTAGAATTATGTTTGAAGTATCGTGTTTTTGAAAAAAGAAAACATACATTAAGAAAAAGATGTCAATGATTTAGCCCCACCCACCCACCCTATCGCAATTCTGATGAATTTTTCATTTGATGTCAGATTTAGGGGCGGAGCTTAACTGCAAAATCCATTTCTCTACAAAATAGTAAAGACATTTCAATTTTGCACTTCCTCCACATTTCACACGGTTATTTCTTGTAGAAAAATATGAACTCTACATCATTTAAGCTCCGCCCTCCGTCTCACAACGAATAAACAGATTAGTCACAATTGAGATTGGGCGGGTGGGTGGAGTTTATCCTTTGATTTTTTTTCGTAATATACTAGTCTTCTTTCAACAGTAAAATACTTAAAATATCAAAGAGTTAATTTGAGATTAGAATTTTGTTTGAGGTATCGTGTTTAAAAAAAAAACTATACATTAAGAAAAAGATGTAAATGATTAAGCAACAACAACAAAGTTATATTTAAAAAAAATGTAAAAACATCTCGGAGATCCCTGGTGTTTTTTTTTTTTTTTCGAAGAGTCTGAAAGAATCCTAGGGGTTCCTGGTGTCTCTCGTGTTTTATTTTTGAAAACATTTCAAGATGTTGAGAGCTCCTGGTGTTTCTGTTTTAAAAATGTGGAAGAATCTTTGGTGTGGCTTATTTTGCTTTTGAAAGAAATTTAAAAATCGCGGAAACTTCTAATCCTTTGCTTTTGAAAAACTTTGGCCATTTTTATTAGGTAAAAAATAATACGAAATTGTAGAATTTTTCAAAAAAAACGGAAAACCTTTCAATTCTGCTTTGTAATGTTATTGTTGTACATAATTGTAATTAGTTAATTACCTACTAATGAAGTGCTATTAACTTGGTAAAAACATTGAAAGTCATTTTTTTGAAAACCGTTGACTAATTGGGACAAAGTCTATACATATAAATCAAAAACGTGTGTCAGATCATCATTTTTTTTTCAGTCTTAACGCATTCACATAACTGAAGGTTTCACAACCTGGCTTAACAAAGACAAGTCAAAAAGCTCCAAATCACTTTACCTTGTGTGACTGAGTCATAATTAGTCACAGATAACAAACGTTTTTGGGTTACCTGCTTTGAAGAATAATTTACCAACGTAAACTCACGTTTGCTGACACAACACAACTCGTCAATGTTTCATTCCGTCCACAATTTACCATTAAACAAGTTTCGATAAAACATACAAGTTTAAAGCAACAAAATTATTTACTCATTCATTATTTTCGCAATTAATTCGAGGAACCGTAAAACAACACAAACATTTGCGAATTACAAAATTTAATAAAATTAAAAGCCTCAACGTCATCAGGTAAAATGTTTACCGCTGGCACACACCAATTCTCATGGTAATGTCAATCACTCGATTTGATAAAACGCTAATTACGACTGTCAACTCCACTATCTAATCTGTGTGATAGAAAAAGGATTTGAAAATCGTTTAAGTTAGACTTGTGTATCTTGTGTATATTCATTATGGATATTTACGGTCGTTCTAATTGATAATTTAGTCACCACGCGACCGATACTTCTTCAAAGCAAAGAGAACTCGAATATTAATGAATGCCAAAGGTCAACGAAAACTATATAGGGAACATAAAATTTGGATATCGGTCAAACGAGAATAAATAACGAGCGGTGATACAAATATGGAAAAGTGGTTGCTCCTAGGAGAAGAAATGATTTTTTTGGATTTTTTTATAATTTTTTTATTTTCGTGCAAAAATTGGCTCCACACCGGTCGTAAAACCGGAACCACAAACAAAATAACGAAAAGCCGAAACTAGTTCAAGGTACAAGACATTTTCACAAAAACAAACAAAAACTTTATAATAAGTCCGTCATTATGCGGCTTATCGTCGAGAAAATCCTCTTTCAGTGTTACGGTTCTGTTAGGTCGAACCTTACGGTTATTTTTTTATCAACTAATTTACGTTCTGTTCTAGTTTTAATTTTAGCTTCTTACCGTGTTTACGTTGAGGGCATTTAAACTCGGTGGCTTGTTTACTGTTTTTTTCGGTGCACCGATTTTCCCGACTCGTCGTTATTTTCCACACAGCGAAAATTCGGTCTATAAACTAGCAAATGTATTTGTGGTGCTTCGAACGTTATCGGCTTACATAATCGCGAAAAAATGCCTGAAAAAAACATGTAAATCGTAACATAAAAATTGCTTTAAATTTTAAAATAGTAAACACGCTTAAGTTCCAATTTATAACGACTTCTAACCAGTTACACAATGACTGGGAATTTTAAACCAGAATATATTATATTTTCATAATTACAAGGTGTTGTCTTTGGAAAGGACGAAACCAGAATTACCTAACGATGTATGCAATTACTCATAAAAGCAAAATTACGTTATTTTTGTAACCTCCACTTTTACACAAGCTTTATGATTTATTTATGTAGAGTGTTTGTTTGCGGCTTAATTAAAATTTCGGTATACAATGTTGTGAATTTCCTCGTTCCAGCGACAAAGACACCTTTAACGGCCCATTATTTTTAGCCGAAATTAAAACTGTGGGTGTTATAAATAGTCATCAGCTTCTTAATGAACCCATCACTGCATGCACCTACTTGCAAACTGGGTCCCCCTGATGGGGTCCGCCAATTACAAAACTACAAAACTGATCAATCCCTCACCTAATTAATTTTTCTTCTCATCGTATCCCTTCGAACAATGGAAATTGTTGCAAACATTCCGCCAGGGTTCACACGAAGATCGAAATATACTGTACGAGGATCACAGAAATGCAGACTCATTGATGTTACGACGAAATATTAAATACATCTCCAACAATATTAAAAATTATTCACTAGTTCGTAGAATGTCAAAAATGTGTCACTACATTATTGTTTTGTGCCGTGAAGTGAGCGCCCCACCACCGTAAACTAAGGAGCGGGTCAGGCAAGGTCAGCCAGGGCTGCCAACGCACGACTTGTTACTAGACGCATTTTTCAAAAAAAGAAACGCCTTAAACTTAAAAAATAAAAAGAAAAGCGAAACAATGACTTAAATGAGTGACGACAAGTAGAAACCCGAACAAAGAGATTTAATAGTGCGATAATGTCGAGGTCGCTGCGGCTAAACACAGTGGCTGTTCGTTACCTACGACCACCTACGACTAAAGGAGTTTGTGTGTCATTTCAAATGCAAAAACAACTACTAAAAAGTTTAAATTGATTGGAAGTTAAACAAAGATATTTGCGTCTACTTTGTAACAATCGGATTTTTTAATAAATCAAAATCTGTTTTTTGGAAAGACGTAAAGAAAGAGACGCCACTGGTTGACGCAAGTTTGAACGGACTTGCCAACTTAATTCACTCGTAACCGACATAACCTCAATAATGACAACCACTTAAAAAAACTTGAAAAACCCGTCGAAAACACAAAAAAGTATGAAAAAGTAACACGGAGTCGTCATCGTCATCGTCACCGACGCAGTTGTGTCTCACGCGTGTAATGAAGGTTAGGTGCGACAGCCCTTGAACCTTGGACTCTCAGTTGAAAATGTCCCGTTTTAGAAACCTGACGGCTTTGAGGCACTTTTCTACCAAACAACGCACCTTCAAAGAAATAAAAATTCCAGTACCGTGGGGCCACGTTGCTGGAAAATGGTGGGAGCCGTACGACAAGCGCCCCATTTTGACTCTACACGGATGGCAAGACAGTTGCGGGAGTTTCGACCGTCTGGTGCCCCTTCTTAAGGATGACGTCGGAATTGTGGCTATAGATCTACCAGGACATGGGTACTCGTCGCGACTTCCGCCTGGAATGTTCTACAACAACATGAACTACCCCATTATCATCCAGCACATCGCTAATTATCTCGAGTGGCCGAAAATTTCGCTCATGGGGCACTCGTTAGGGGCCATCAGCTCATTCATCTATACAATTATATTTCCAGAAAATGTGGATTTTCTGATTTGTATTGATGGGGTGAAACCACTGTATATGAAGAACAATGGGCCTAGGATGGCACTCGGGATTCAAGAGTTGTTGAAATATGATGAGTTAGGAAGGAGCAAAGAAGAGCCCCCCAGTTACCCGTTAGAAGTGATAAAGAAAAGAATGGCGGCTTTGAATACTCAGAGTATTAGTATTGACCACTGCCACCATATTCTGAACCGGAATATAGCCCCATCCAAAGCCGATCCCGACAAGTACTATTTTACAAGAGACCCACGCTTGAAGGCTAGGTTTATCTTCAACTGGGCACAAAAAGACATGTTAGAGGGCGCATACCGGGTTATTTGTCCCATGCTTATGATCAAGTTTACCGAAAGTGGATACTACGAAGACAAACAAAATTTCTACGAGTTGTTGGATGCATTGAAGAAAACTTCCAAAGATGCGCAATATCATTACGTCGATGGATCCCACCACACGCATTTAAATAATCCAGAGTCTGTGAAAGACTTGATCAATAATTTTTTGGAAACTTACAACATTGAAGACCGAAAAATAGGGGGTATTAAAAGTGATATTATATGTTAACGTGTTTACTAAAATATTTTTACAAGTTAATAATAAATCATAGATTTTTGTTGCTTAAATCCGTCAACTTACTTAGTAGCTCGTTTCCAAAAGACTTGTGAAAGGAGGGGCTTACATGGTCGAGTAGGCTGTATGGGGTTTCAAAAAAGTCTTCGTTTTCGTCACTCTTTTGGTTGTAACTTTTCCCAGCGACTCTGAAACCGCTTCCTGAAAGTTCTATGCAAAAATCGTTGCCTTCGATTGTTGTCAAGTTGAAATAGATTTGTTGGTCGGTTCCGTTCAGTACTGTGATGCTCTTCACGTGGTTTTCGATGTCTTTTACCACTGCAAGGGCTTCGAGTTTCCAGTTTTCGGCGTCGAGAACCTTTTCTGTCATTGTTTTGCATTTGTTTGAGAATTTGTAGGTTAGAATTTGACAATTTGTTGTGCCAAGGGTACCAACTGTTTGGTTGAAATCTAAAAAAATACCTGTCCAATAGAATTTTAGGCCTGACGGTTAACATCAAAGCAATGAAGCTATTATGATACTTCTCACCGAGTACGTAGAAGTGAAAGTTGCATGCAATCACATTGTAGACCGGCAAATGTCACGAAGCTATATCTTTTAAGTTTCTTGTTGTCGAAATAAGTCTACACATATTACGAAAAAAAGGCAAAATTTAAACCCCGCCCACCCACCCATGTCAAATGTGATGATTTTTTTATTCGTCGTGAGCCAAGGGGGTGGAGCTTAACTGCACAATCCTTATTTCGCTACGAAAAATTAAAAACATGTTTTTGAGTTTCGTGTTATTCAAACAATACTATGTATTTAAAAAAAAAAATTAAAGCCAAAGATTAAGCGCCGCCCATACCTGCCCTGATCTAAATAGCAATGAAGTTTTCATTCGTTGGTAGACTTAGAGGCGGAGCCTAATTGCAAAATCCATGTTTCCTGACAAAAATATGCAATTTTAAACTTGTTGAACAACACGATACTCAAAAACATGTTTTTAATTTCTTGTAAAGAAATAAGTATTTTGCAGTTAAGCTCCGCCCTCTTGGTTCACGACGAATAAAAAAATCATCACACTTGAGATGGGTGGGTGGGCGGGGCTTATATTTTGCCTTTTTGTTTTAATATGTGTGGACTTCTTTTCACAACATGAAACTGAAAACATGTTTAAAATGGAAAATTTGTATAAAGGCATTTGGATTTTAAAATAGGCTCCGCCTCATAATTGCAATATCCACATTTCCTTGCAAAAATGTACCATTTTAGACATGTTTTAAGTCTCTTGTTGTCGAAACAAGTCTACACATATTACGAAAAAAAAGACAAAATTTAAGCATAGTATTTTTTGAACATCATACTCAAAAACATGTTTTTAAATACCTGTAAAGAAATAACGCGAATTAAAAAAATCGTCACAATTGAGATAGGGCGGGTGGGGGGGGCTTATATTTTGCCTTTTTTTTTTCTTAATTTACATAGCCATCTTTTCACAACAAGAAACTTAAAACATGATTAAAATGGTATATTTTTGCAAGTAAATATGGATTTTTTCAATTTTCCATTTTAAACGTGTTTTTAGTTAATTGGTGTGAAAAGAAATCTACACATATTAAAACAAAAACGCAAAATGTAAGCCCCCCCCCACCCGCCCTACCTCAATCGTGATGATTTTTTCATTCGCCGAGAACCAAAGGAGCTTGGCTGCAAAATATTTATTTCTTTACAAGAAATTAAAAACATGTTTTTAAGTATCGTATTGTTCAAAGAATATTATGTATATTAAGGACAAAAGCCAAATATAAACCCCGCCCACCCACCCCATCTCAATTGTGGTGATTTTTTTTATTCTTAGAAAGCTAAAACACGTTTAAGATGGTAAATTTTTGTAAGGAAATATGGATTTTTCCTCCGTCCCCTTGGCTCACGACGAATAAAAAAATCGTCACAATTGAGATAGGGCGGATGGGCGGGGCTTATATTTTGCCTTTTTTTCTTATTTTAGATAGCCATCTTTTCATAACATGTTTAAAATGGAACATTTGTATAGGACATAATTGCAAAATCTATATTTCCTTGCAAAAATGTACCATTTTAACCATGTTTTAAGTTTCTTGTTGTGAAAAGATGGCTATGGATATTTAGAAAAAAAAAGGTAAAATATAATATTAAAGCACAGTACATATTAAATATGTAGAAGTGTGAGCAATTCTTAAATTTATGTTGGCGCTACTGGTTGTCTTATTTAAAGCTGCCGAATTGTTGGCAACAAATTCGAATAAATTACAAAATCTGCTCCCTTCACAATAATTTTCGTTGTGTTTAATTTGCTTTTTTAGTTCCAAATCTTTTTTTTTTTTTGGTTTTAAAATACAAATTTTTGGCTTTTGTTATAGGCAACCAACAATACTCACGCGCCACTTTTTATGTATGTTGCATTGTCAGGACCGTACGGTATTCTCCAACGATAGGAAGAAACTCCAAGATCAACTCAAAGTAAAAATATATTTTAAAATCTTTGTTTCAGACACAGCTCTTTAATCAAACCTTATATTGCTGACACTGTTACACCCCTGACAAGTGACACTGTTGACATAAATTAACAGTACCAACCCACGCAAACACACTAAGCTCAAACTACAACCCTTTATCCTCAAAATTGTACCACTGCCTTTAAATCAGCTATCTAAACTACGTGTTTCTTAACTTTATAACCCCCAACGCTCCTGTTCTCTTTTGCAGCCCCCGTTCCGCCTCCCGCCATCTCCCCGCCGCCGCCCCAACTAAACTTGTAAACACAAAGAACAACTCCGAATGAGGTTATCGATGCCATCAGCTGTTCTCCCGTGAAAGTGGATTCATCCGTGACTCCTGTCATTCTGCTCAAGATGTTGTGACGCAAACCCAAAATAAACTCGATTACATGTCTTCTCGAAGAGCCCTTGCGTGACCCGCGACAATAATCGAAATCCAAGTTAGATGCTCGTTCCTCGGAAACCTGTAGCAGTTTCGTGTGCGGTCGCGTGAAAATGGCCCAGATCTACAGCAAGTTCCCGCTTCCCGTAACAGGAACCATCAAAACCACCTGCATCGACTACGTGCATCCCTGGACTGACAGCTGTCTGCAGGGGATTTCCGGCCTCTACTTGTACGCTATCTTCGACTCCCTCAGGGTCTACGGCACGGTCTATGTGGTGAGTATGCATTTTTTGTTTGTTGTTGTTGTTATGTAATGGGTTTTGGGGCGTCTGGGGTCGTTGTAGGGTGGGTTTTGGGGCTGGAACGAGAAAATTAGTTGGGGATTTCGGACTGATTGGGGGAAATGAGGAATGAACAAATATTTGAGTGTGAATATTGATTCAGTTTAACAGGAAGTGACACACTTAATGATGTCTTAGTGTGTCATATTTTCGTTAATTTTTAAGATTTTTCCATTTTCTACGGGAGGTGTATTCTGGGTTGCGTTTCCAATTCTAACGGGCTCATCATTACTCTAAAATTACCTGCATGTAGGTATGACATAACGACTTTTTAATGAGAATCGCAAAGAGATAAGTTGTTCAATATTGTCAAAGTTATGCAACCAATAATACATACTTAAATCCCTTTCCTTATTTCATACTTGTCCATTTTAATAAAAAACTGCAAAACATTCCACAAATTCCAGCGGTGAAAGTTTCAAATCCAAATCTGCCGTTTTATTTTTCTATTTATATTATTTTAATGGAATTAACATTAACCCGCAATCAGCTGTTTCGTATGACCTGGTCTGATGTTCGCCATGAACCTGCTCAAGATGTGACGTAAACTAACCTTGTTTACATGTCTTCGTAAGCACAGGTAAAAGTGAAACTTCAATGGTCAATATCCAGAGTTCTATTTAGCGATTCCGTGGTCGCGGAGTGTCGTAGTGATGTGAAAATGACCCAAATTTACAGCAAGTTACCTCTTCCTGTATGGGGAACCATCGGTACCACCTGTATCGAATACGTGCATCCCTGGACGAACAGCTGCCTGCAGGCGACGTCTGGATTATATTTATGGGCACTTTTCAGTTCCTTCAGGCTTTACGGAACGGTTTATGTGGTTCGTGTTGTATTTATAAATAAAGGGTGCTTTATCCACTCCTGAAACGCGGTAAAAAAAAATTGTTTTGATAAAGTCGTTAATGATGTTAATTATTGTTTATTGACATGATTCTTGCTTTATGGCGACGGCCGTGAACGTGCACTTACTGACTAATTACGACATGACTTGTTGAAAATGGAATTAATTTAGCGTTCACTAGAAAAGTTGGTTTATATTTTGCATACAGGAAATGCCATTCATGATTTTTCTAGTACTAATGAGCAGAATTGTGTATGTTTTTATTTGACGTAAGTGAGAACAAGCAGCGCCATTTTGCCTGCTGATTATAAAATTGTTGTTAAAATGGGTTTTAATAACGAACAAGATATTCGCTAAGTAGTCGTGGAGATAATTATTGATGTTTGACAGGTTTTTGTTTGGAGAATTTTTCTAGAGGCTTCATTAAGTCTGACTTAAGTGCACAAGGTGAACTAGTTGTAAGTGCACAAAAACATGATTGCAGTTTTAAACAAGTATAATTTAATATCAGTGTTATGCAACCCATAATACACCTGTACGAATCGACTTATTTTGATTTTATTTTTAATTACATGAACGGCGTTCAATAAATTTGTACTCGTTAAAAAAAAATAAACACAATTTTCATACAATAGTTGCGTTTCGGGTGAAAGCTGTAAAATTATAACTTTATGTGTTTAGTTCGGTCGTTACTTTGGTATGCGCATTGTTTATTTAATTCTTTGTGTATATCATTAAAAACGAGCGGGTTTAATACTGGATTCCCCAAAAGTGGAGTTAAAAATTACCAGATAAAAATACTATTTTTTGCGAGCGGTCACCTTTTTGGTGAGTGCTACCGATAAAGTAACACATAATAATTTTATCTCGGCGTGTTATCGTTTATGATTTTTAATATTCATGTTAATCACGCCAGTGAGGTGTTTATCAGAATCACTAAATTTGTTATTGATCGAGATAACAGCGGTGATTTTATAAAGTGTATGTAAATTGTGGAACGGAAACTTTCTCAGCATAGTTTTGTTAGAAAGTTTTATATGCAATAAATACGCATAATTCACTTGTTTGCGAGCGCAGCGAGCACGTTCAGGTTGCTGGGGTGACTTTAGGATTCACAAACATTTATTTGATTGATAAATTGAAAAATCGAAAAATATATTTTTTTTTAAATCGAAACTATAAAAATTCGGAAAATTGAAAAATAGAAATATGGCAGAACTGAAAAATCGAAATCTCCAAAAATCTAAAATTTAAAATATCGATACATTAAAGAATCAAATTTAAAAATAGGCCAAAATTGAAAAATCGCAATAAAAATTTGAAAAATTGAAAATTTAAAATTTAAAAAAAAATTAGTAAATCGAGAAATCTAAATCTGAAAAATCGAAAAATTTAAAAACCGAAAATTTGGAAATATAAAAATATAAAAACCGGAAATTTGAAAAATTTTAGATATTGAGTCATTTAAAAAGTCGAAAAACTGAATAATTGAGGGAGCGAAACATCAAAAAATCGAATAATTGAAGAATCGAAATATTAAAAAATCAAAAACCTGAAAAATTGAAAAATCGAAAAATTGAAGGATTGAAAAACTAAAAAATGCATACATTGATAATTCGAGAAATCGAGAAAGGGACAAATAAAAAAAGTCAATTAATCGAGAAATTAAGACAGCGAAAAATTGAAAATTTATACACCCAACATTAAAAAATTGAAAACCAAAAAACTGGAAAATAAAAAATTTTAAAATACGGAAAAATAGAAATAACGTACAAATGAAAAATCGAAATATCAAAAAATCTAAAATTCAAAAAATTGAAAATATCAAATATCGATGAATTAAAGAATCTAAAAATTGAAAAATTCCAAAATGCAAGGTTTAAAAAATCCAAAAATGGAAAAATCGGAAAATTGGGAAATCGAAAAATCCAAAAACCGAAAAGTCGAAAAACCGAGGAATTGAAAAATCGAAACATCAAAAGATGGAGAAACCGAAAAGTCGAAAAATCGAGTAATTGAAAAATTGAAATAGGCCAAAATTGAAAAATTGAAATGTTATAATTTGAAAAATTGAAAATTTAAAGTTAAAACAAATCGAGAAATCGATAAAACTGGAAAATCAAAAAATTTAAAACCCGAGAATTTGAATATCAAAGATTTTAAAAATCTAAAAATTGAAAAACTGAAAAATCGAAGACTCGAAAAGTTAAGAAATCCAAAAATATAAAGTTTTAAAAATTGAATAATTAAAAAGTTGAAAAACTGAAAAATTGAGAAAGCGAAACATCAAAAAATCGGAAAAATAAAATTTCGAGTTATCAAAAAATCGAAAAGTTAAAGAATCGAAATTTTGAAAAATCCCAAAACTCACAAATCGAAAAACTGAAAAATCGGGAAATCGAAAAGTCGAGAACTCGAAAAATTGAAAAATTAAAAACCTGAAAAATTGAAAAATCGAAGAATTGAAAAATAGATGTAACGAGTAACGGAAAAATCGAAATATTGAAAAATTGAGAAAACGAAAAATCCAAAAACCGAAAAGTCGAAAAATCGAGTGATTAAAAAATTGAAATAGGCCAAAATTGCAAAATCGAAAAATTAAATTTTGAAAAATTAAAAATTAAAAAATTTTAAAAAATCGAGAAATCGAAAAACTGAAAAATCTAAAAATTTAAAACCTGAAAATTTTAAAGATCAAGTTAAAGACCGAAAATTTGAATAATCAAAAATTTTAAAAATCGAAAAATTGAGAAACTAAAAAGTCGAAAAACTGAAAAATTGAGAAACCGAAACATCAGAAAATCGAAGAATTGAACAATTTAAACATCCAAAAAATAAAATTGCGAGAAATAAAAAAATCGGGGAATCGAAATATATTAAAGAATCTCAAAACTGAAAAATCGAAAAATTGGGAAATCGAAGAAAAATTGAAAATTCCAAAACTAAAACATCAAAAAACTGAAAAATCCGGAAATCGAACAGTTGAAAAATCGAAAAATTGAAAAATCAAAACCCCTAAAAATTGAAAAGTCAAAAAATTGAAGGCTTGAAATGAAAACTTAAAAATCCCGAAAATTTAAAGTGTTAATTAATTAAAGAATCGAAAAATATTAAATTAAAAAATGTAAAATTTAAAAATCAAAAAGTTGAAAAATCCAAAATTTAAAATATCGATGAATTAAAGAATCTAAAAATAGAAGAATTCAAAAATCCAAAAATCGAAAAGTCGGAAAATTGATGAATTAAAAATCTAAAAAAATGGAAACATCGAAAAATTGGGAAATCGAAAAATCCAAAAACCGAAAAATCGAGGAATTGAAAAATCAAAACATCAAAAGATCGACAAACCGAAAAGTTGAAAAATTAAAAAATTGAAATAGGCCAAAATTAAAAAAATCGAAAAATTGGAAAACTGAAAAGTCGAACATTTAAAAAATTCAGAACTCCAAAAATCTAAAATTTTAAAAACTGAATAAGTAAAAAGTCAAAAAGTTGAGAAAACGAAACATCAAAAAATGGAAAAATTGAAAAAATAAAATTTCGAGAAACCAAAAAATCGAAAAATTGACAAATGGAAGAAAAATTGAAAAATCAAAAAATTGAAGGCTTGAAAAAGTGAAAAATCGAAACATGCAAAGTCAGGAAATCGAGAAATGAGAAAATAAAAAAATCGATTAATCGGGAAATTGAGAAATAAAAAAATTGAAAAGTCCAGAAATGAAAAATCGTAAAACTGAAACAAAAAATTGATAAGTCGAAAAATGCAAAAATCGAGAAATCGATAATTTGAAGATTCGAGAAATTGAAATATCCCAAAAGTAAAATATCAAAAAATCGAGAAATCAAAAATCGAAAAACCGAAAATTCCAAAGTCCAAAATTTAAAAAATACAAAAATTGAAAATCGAAACATCGAAAATTCGAAAAGCTGAAAAACCGAAGAATTGAAAAATCGAAACATTGAAAAATTGAAACAGGTGATTATTGAAAAATAGAAAAGTTAAACTTTCAAAAATTTAAAATTAAAAAATATAGATAAACATAGAAATCGAAAAACTGAAAAATCGAAAAATTTAAAAATGAGATAAATTTTTCGATTCGAAAAATTGAAAATGAAAAATATCGAAACTGAAAAATCGAAACATCGAAAAATTGGAAAATCTAAAAATTCAAAAACCGATAAACCGAGGAATTGAAAAATCGAAACATTGAAATAGGTCAAAATTAAAAAACACAGACATTTAAAAAAAATCGGTAAATATAAAAATCGAAAAATTTAAAAACCGAAAATTTAAAAAATCAGAACTTTAAAAATCGAAAATTTGAACAAAGATTTTAAAAATTGAAACACTAAAAAATCAAACATTTAAAAATTCGAAAAATTGAAAAATAAAAATGTCGAAGAACTGAAAAGTCGAAATATCGAAAAATCTAAAGTTTAAAACATCAAAAAATTGAAAAATCGAAACATTGAAAAATTGAAATTGGTTATAATTGAAACAGAAAAGTTAAAATTTGAAAAATTGAAAAATTTTAAAGTAAAAAAATCAATAAATTGAAAAATCGAAAAATTTTAAAAACAAAACTGTAAAAATCGAAAATTTGAATAATCAAAGATTTTAAAAATTGGAAAAATTAAAAAATCGAACGGTCGAGAAGCCGAAAATTTAAGAAAATCGAAAAGTTGAAAAATCAAAAACCTGGAAAATTGAGGGATTGAAAAATGAAAAAATCGAGAAATCGATAATTTGAAGATTCGAGAAATTGACATATTCCAAAACTGAAATATCAAAAAATTGAAAAATCGAAACATTGAAAAATTGAAATTGGTTATAATTGAAACATAGAAAAGTTAAAATTTGAAAAATTGAAAAATTTAAAAGTAAAAAAATCAATAAAATGAAAAATCGAAAAATTTTAAAAACAAAATTGTAAAAATCGAAAATTTGAATAATCAAAGATTTTAAAAATTGGAAAAAATGAAAAATCGAACGGTCGAGAAGCCGAAAATTTAAGAAAATCGAAAAGTTGAAAAATCGAAAACCTGAAAAATTGAGGGATTGAAAAATGAAAAAATCGAGAAATCGATAATTTGAAGATTCGAGAAATTGACACATTCCAAAACTGAAATATCAAAACATTGAGAAATCGAAAATTTTAATAATTTTTATATCCACGATTTTGATTTTTCTCCAAAAATCTAGATACGTAGGATAAAAATTCAACACGGTTTCATAAACCACAATTTCAGAAACCACGTTACTTTTTAACATGTATATAGCATTTATTCGACAAAATTGCAAGATAACATCGCCAATTCCTGGGGGGGCATGAACGGATAAATTTTTATTATCGAGTTACCTTGCTTCGACGTTTACAAGATTTCAAAGCATCAGATTTTCCAATTTTAAAGTAAAATTGTAAATTGTTGTTATACAATTTTGATTATGTTCTAAAAATTTGAATACTCAACACGGATTCATAAACCACAAATCCAGTAGTATGTTATTTTACAAAATTTAGATAACATTTACTATTGTATGATAACTTATTAGTACACGATATTCGTAACAAACATCTACAATATTTATATTTTTTCATAAAAAAAAAATATTGCGACTAACAAAATATCCACTCATTCACAACCGATAATAAATTATCGTCAGCTGTTTTTTTTGCGGACGACCTTTCGGTATCAAAGTCTTCGCTCTTAACAGCGACCAAAGTTCAAACGCACTTTAAACCGATCGACAAAATTTCATCCAAAACAATACACACATTGTCATTTAAATCGCCTTATCTCCAGATAATCTGACTTAAGCCCCGCCTGCGCACTCCGCGCAGCCTTTCCTTACCCTTGGTGGCAATCACTCGTTCTAATTTTAGACCTCCTGATTGTAGAAGCCTTCGAACGGCCTTAGCACTCTCCATTAGCGCCAACCGAGCCCCCGAAATGATCTATAGCCGCTTAATGGCCTGTCAGAGCCAATTAAATAAGTTACGATCTCATTAAACGATTTCACACAACCTACATACACATACCTAATCCTCGTTCCCGGCCATGATTTGCCCTAAGTTCGCGCGACTTTGCCACTTTCAGCGCGGTACTCCGACTGGGACCGGGCGAAGGCCTGCAGCTCTCGAAGGGGCTTTTATCGTTCGCTGTTTATTTAAAATCATCGTCCCGCCAATGGCGTCAGCTCCGTGTGTAAACAAAATATTGTGATAAGGAAAAGGTGAGCCCGAACTTCGACAGTGCCTCGTGGAAGGGTCAAGTGCGAGGATTCGAGTGACGCGAAAAATGGTGGCAATTTTGAGTAAGTTCCAACCCCTGGATTTCCCCTGCGGGGATTTCCACTACTGGGATCGGACGTGCGTGAATTTTCAAGTCGAGCTATGGTTTGTGGCCATCGTGGCTTCTTTTAAAATGTACTTTTCGGTGTATTTGGTGAGTATTGGGACGATTATTAAACTTATAAACTTTAGATAACTGGGTCGATGATTAGCGTATTTGTTTTAAACGAGATTGTTAAATTGTTTTATTATTATTTAGTGCCAATAAAATAATGGGGGCACAGGGTTCTAATTTATTTTACATTTTAATAAATCGCCGGATTTTATCTACGGAGTTGACTACGCAAACGTTGTCTACTTATCTTGACGTTTTGCCGTGCCTGCACGTTTTTCAAGTGATTATAAACCTGTAAAATAAATAAGATATTTCTTCGAGCTGAAAACAACGGCGTTTGCAGAACTTCAATGTGCTTGCCCCTTTCAGTAAACTTCTTTTTCTTCGTGCTAAATCCTACCTAAATTGTAATATTCTTTTGTGCGTGTGGCTTATGAATCCGCCTTTATTTTTTATATCCAACATCCAGCGTTTTGGAAAAAAAATCAAAATTGTATAACAATCTCGTGACTTGACGAGGTTTCGGAGAAATAAGTATCTGGAGGATTCACCGATCTAATACTAAATACAGTCAATTGTTTCAATCAGATTTTATATTAATGTTCAACGCAACAACGGCTTATTAGCATTCGAGCAAGGTTAATGTACGTCAAGAGATCATTATATATTATTGTTATTATTTCCAGTTTATTGTAACGATTGTTTTGGATATTGAGATTCATTGTTATTGTTTTTTTTTTTTTTGAATTTTAATGAAGTAGCTGTTGGTGACGCTGTTCAATTTGAACTTTAACACGAACACGCGACTATATAAAGTATGATAACGCTAAATTATTAGGAGATATATGGTGTTTATAATGGTCTTCTTTGTGTGTAATTTAGTTCTTGACATCGAAAGTTTTCCAACTAAATATACAAATCACTGATTAAATTTCGCAATTTAAAAAAATTAGAACGTGAATAATAGAAAAAATCCAAAGTTTGAAAAAAAAAATGGAGGTATTGTAAAAATGAAAAAAAAAAATTCAAGCAGTAAACAACTAACAAGTTGAAACTACTCAAAAAATTGAAAATTTTGTTCCCCATTTTCGTGGTACTCTTACTTGTTTATGAATCCGCGTTGAATTTTTAACCGTTCTTTTTTTGGGGTTTAATTCCATAGAAGTGATTAAGAAAGAAAAACAAAACTGCTTGGGTTTCGTTCTAATAATACATCTCTAGATAATTCGTTATCGTTTGTGAATGAGTTGAAGTTTCGTTAGTAGAATTTGTTTTCTTTATGAAAAAATATAAATATCGTAGATGTATGTTACGAATACCGTGTACGAACAAGTAATCTCCAAATTTTACAATAATAAGTATATCTTATTTAAATTGTGTAAAATAACGTGCTCCTCCATTTGTGGTTTATGAATCCGTGTTGACTTTTCACCTTCAGCATCCAGATTTTTTTTTTCAATTTCTGTTTCTCGATTGATCGATTTTTTTATTTTCTCATATCTCGGTTTCCCGACTTTTTAATGTTTCGATTTTTCAGTTTTGGAATTTTTTTAATTTTTCTTCAATTTCTCAATTTATCGATTTTTTTACTTTTAAATTTTTCAACTTTTCGGTTTTTCGGTCTTTTGATTGCTCGATTTTTGATTCCCCGATTTTTCGGCTTTTGGATTTTTCGATTTTCCAGTTTTTCGATATTTTCATTTTTCAATTTTTTGATTTTTTAAATTTTAGATTTTTCGAATTTTTAAATGTTTTCAATTTTTAAAATTGATTATCCAAATTTTCGGTTTTTAAATTTTTCGATTTCTCTATTTATCGATTTTTAATTCTAACATTTCTATTATTAAATTTTGATCTATGTATTTCAATTTTTCAATATGTATTTCGATTTTTCGGCTTTTCGGTTTCTCTTTTTATCGATTTTTTTAATTTAAAATTTTTCAATTCTCCATAATTTCAATTTTTCAATGTTTCGTTTTTTCGACTTTTCGGTTTCTCGGATTTCTCGATTTTTCTACTTTCGATATCTCAATTTTTTCATATTTCAGTTTTGGAATATTTCAATTTCTCGAATCTTCAAATTATTATCGATTTCTCGATTTTTCCATTTTTCGCTTTCTCAATTTTTCTGTTTCAGTTTTATGATTTTTCAATTTCAATTTTTCAATTTCTCGATTAACCGACTTTTTTATTTTCCCAATTCTCCATTTCTTAGTTTCCCGACTTTTCAATGTTTCGATTTTTCAGTTTTCCAATCCTTCAATTTTTAAGATTTTTGATTTTTCAGTTTTTCGATTTCTTAATTTTTCGATGTTTCAGTTTTGGAATTTTTTAAATTTTTCTTCCATTTCTCAATTTTTCGAATTTTTAAAATGTTTGGTTTTTAGTTTTTCAATTTTTAGAATCTTTAATTATTGAAATTTTCGAATTTTAAAGTTTTGATTTTTCAAATTTTCGGTTTTTAAATTTTTCGAGATCTCTATTTATCGTTTTTTTTTTTTTTACTTTAAAATTGTCAGTTCTTTCGGTCCTTTGATGGCTCGATTTTTCAATTCCTCGGTTTTTCGACTTTTGAATTTTTCGATTTTCCAGTTTTTCGATGTTTCCATTTTTCAATTTTTTAATTTTTTAAATTTTAGATTTTTCCAATTTTTAAATGTTTTCAATTTTTAAAATTATTGATTATTCAAATTTTCGGTTTTTAAAGTTGTGATTTTCCAAATTTTGATTTTTTTTATGTTTCTGTTTTTCGATTTTTGTATTTATCGATTTTTATTTTAAATGTTGGATTTTTCATATTTTCGATTTCTCTATTTATCGATTTTTTTTTTATTTTAAGTTTTTCAAATTTTAGCTGTTCTATTTTTCAATTTGGACCTATTTCAATTTTTCAATGTTTTGATTTTTCAGTTTCTCCATCTTTTGATTTTTCGATTTTTCAATGTTTGGATTTTTTAATTTTCGGTTTTTCGATTTTTAAATTTTCATTCTTTTTTAAATTTTAGATTTTTCGACTTCTCTATTTATCGACATTTTTTAATTTTAAATTTTCCAATTTTCCAAATTTGACTTGTTTAAATTTTTCAATCTTTCTTTTTTTCAACTTTTCGGTTTCTCGGTCGATTTTTCAATTCCTCTACTTTTGGATTTTTCGATTTCCCAGTTTTTGAATGTTTTAAAGTTTGAATTTTCGATTTTTCAATTCTTCGATATTTGTATTTTTCAATTTTCCGGGTTTTTAAATTTTACATTTTTCGATTTTACGATTTTATGATATTTCGATTCCTCGATCTTTCAATTTTTCGACATTTTGGATTCCGATTTTGAAGTTTTTCAATTTTTAGATTTTTTAAATTTTATATCAAAATTGTAGATCGAATCTTCTCAATTTCTCGATTTTTCGCTTTTTCTATTTTTCAGTTTTTCTGTTTCAGTTTAACGATTTTTCAATTTCAATTTTTTAATGTTGAATGTCTCAATTTTCAATTTTTCAATTTCTCGATTAATCGACTTTTGTATTTTCCATTTCTCCATTTTTTGGTTTCCCGACTTTTCAGTGTTTCGATTTTTCAGTTTTCAATCCCCCAATTTTTCAGGTTTAGATTTTCCATTCAGTTTTCCGATTTTTTTAAATTTTTGACTTCTCGACTATTCGATTTTTCGATTGTTCAGTTTTTCGATGCGTCAGTTTTTCAATTTTATAAATTTTTTCCATATCTCAATTTGTCGATTTTTCAGTTTTGGGACTTTTCAATATTTCGATTCTTCAATTTTTCGATTTTTTGATGTTTCGCCTTCACAATTTTTCAGTTTTTCGATATTTTAGTTATTCTATTTTTAAAATTTTAGATTTTCCGATTCAGTTTTTGGAATTTTTAAATGTTCGATTTTTCAGTTTTTCAAATTTTTAGATTCTTCAGTTTTTCGATTTCTCTGTTCATCGATTTGTTGTTTTATTGCAATATTTTCATCTATTTCTTGGTTTTTCCATTTTCCGGTTTTTCGATTTTTTAAATTTTTGATTTTCGAAATTTCGATTTTTCCATTTTCAATTTTAGAATTTTTGATTTTTCGACTTTCGACATTTCGTTTTTTCTATATTTTGATTCTTGGATTTTTCGATTTTCGAAAAATTTAAAACTTTAGAAATCTGAAAATCCCAAAATTCAAATAACGAAGAATAAAAATTGAAGAATCGAAGAGAAACTGAAGAATCGAAGAAAACTTGAAAAATGGAAAACCAAAAAATTGGAAAATTGAAAATTTGATATTCGAGAAACCGAAACATCGTAAAAACTTGAAATGGGAAAACCAAAATATCGAAAAGTCGAGAAGTGGAAAAATCAAATAATCAAAAAAATCGATTAATCGAAAAATCCAAAATTTAGAAACGCCAAAAACTGAAATATTGAAAAATTATAAAACCGAAATATCGGAAGAGGGCGAAATCGAAAAATAAAAAAAATCGAGAAACTGAAGAACCAAAAAATCTAAAATTTAAGAAATGAAAAAATTGACGATTCGAAAAATCGAAGAAAAAGTCAACAACCTAAAACTAAAAAATTCTAAAACTGAAAATTCAAAAAATCAAAAATTCGAAAATCTAAAAATCGAAAAATCCAAGAATCAAAAGATAAAAATTGAAATTTCGAAAATTAAAAATCTGAAAAATCGAAAAACTAGAAATTGAAATATCTCAAAATCGAGAAATTAAGATTTGAAAAATTGAAAAACTGAAAAATCAAAGAAAAAACGAGAAATCCAAAAATCAAAAATTTGAGAAATCTGAAAAACCCAAAATTCAAATATCGAAACATTGAAAAATCGAAAATTGAAAAATCTAAAAATTAGAAAATTAAAAAATTGGGGAATTAATAATCTGAAAATCGAAAAATCGAGAAAACGAAGCATCGAAGAATCGAGAAGTGGGAAAATCAAAATATCGAAAAATAGAAAAATGGAATAATTAAAAAATCGATTAATCGAAAAATCTAAAATTTAGAAAAGCCAAAAATTGAAATATTGAAAAATCTAAAAACTGAAGAATGAAATTGGAAGTTTGAGAAATCGAAAATCTAAAAATCGAAATCGAGAGAGAGAAGAGAATCAAAATATAGAAAAAATGAAATGTCGAAAGTCGAAAAATCAAAAATTCTAAAATTGAAAATGGAACAAACCGAAATTTCGAAAATGAAAAATCTGAAAAATCAAAAAACCAAGAAATAGGGAAACACCGAAATCGAGAAAATGAAAAGTCGAGAAATCGAAAAATCTGAAATTAAAATAACGAAAACTTGAGAAATGGAAAAATGGAAAATTAGAAAAATTGAAAAACCTAAAAATGTGAAATTAAAAAAAAAACGAAAAACTGCAAAATCAAAAAACTATAAATCGAGAAATCGATTACTCCAAAATTTAAAAATTGAAAAAAAATGAAGAACCGATTGGGAAATCGAAAAATTCAAAAATAGAGAAATTGAAATATCTCAAAACCGAAAAATTAAAATTTGAAAAACCGAAAAACTGAAATTTATTTTTTAATTGAAAAATATAAAATTCGAAAAACCACAAATTTGAAATATCGAAACTTTGAAAACTCGAAGAATTGGAAAATTGAAAAATCGAAATTAGGATGAATCAAACTGGGAAACCAAAAAACTAACAAATCAAAAATTCGAAGATCCGTATTTTGTAAAATCGAAATATAGAAAAGATGAAATATCGAAATCAAAAAGTCGAAAATTTAAAAATCGAAAATTCGAAAAACTGCAAACACTGAAAAATCGAGAAGGCGAGAAAAGGATAATTTCAAAAATGAAAAAATTGAAATTTAAAAAAACTAGAAAAATCGGAAAATTGAAACATCGAAAAACTGAAAAAACGAGAAATCGAAAAATCTAAAATTTAAAAATTCTGAAAATCGCAAAATTTAGATATCGAAAAATTGATAAGTCGAAGAATAATTGAAGGACCGAAGAAAAATTGGAGAGTCTAACAAAAATTGAGAAACCGAAACATCGAAAAGTCGAAAAGTGGAAAAATCAAAAAGTTGAATAATCAAAAATCGAAAATTTAGAAACGCCAAAAATTGAAATATTGAAAAATTATAAAACTGAAATTAAAGAACTGAAAAATGTAAAATTTAAGAAATCAAAAAATTGAAGATTCGAAAAATTTATCAATCGATAAATGGAAAATTGAAAAATCGAACAAAAATTGAATAACCGAAAAAGTGAAAAATCCCAAAACTCAAAATTCGAAAAACTGATATATAAAAAAACTGAAGAATTGAATTGAAAAATTGAGAAATCGATAAGTAAAAGAATCTATCCCCCAATTTTTCAGGTTTTTGATTTTCCATTCAGTTTTCCGATTTTTTTAAATTTTTGACTTCTCGACTATTCGATTTTTCGATTGTTCAGTTTTTCGATGCGTCAGTTTTTCAATTTTATAAATTTTTTCCATATCTCAATTTGTCGATTTTTCAGTTTTGGGACTTTTCAATATTTCGATTCTTCAATTTTTCGATTTTTTGATGTTTCGCCTTCACAATTTTTCAGTTTTTCGATATTTTAGTTATTCTATTTTTAAAATTTTAGATTTTCCGATTCAGTTTTTGGAATTTTTAAATGTTCGATTTTTCAGTTTTTCAAATTTTTAGATTCTTCAGTTTTTCGATTTCTCTGTTCATCGATTTGTTGTTTTATTGCAAATTTTTCAAATTTTAACTTTTCTTTTTTTCAATTTTGATCTATGTATGTCAATTTTTCGATGTTTTGAATTTTTGGATTTTTTAAATTTTAGATTTTTCTCTAAATCTCTAGATTCATCACTTAAAAAAACTGATATCTAGAATGCGAGCGCAGCGACCACGTTCAGGTTGCTGGGGTCTTTCCAACTTTGATCTCCAGAAACATTTTCAAGATTCATTTTTATCACACACTAAAAAATTGTCTCTTAATAATTTGGCTTATCATGGACACCAACGAATAATTTTTAAGTTTCACCTGAACGTGCTCGCTGCGCTCGCACTTTAATATTCTTGTAGCAAAAAAATTGTGCGACCATAAATCTGATTTGACTTTTTTTTTTCGTTCTTAATATACATACTCTTCACAATACAAGACTACGTACATATAAAAAAAGGCAGAGCTTAATTGCAGAATGCTTATTTCCACAAGAAACTACCAAATAAAACATGTTTTTAAGTATGATGTTGAAAGAAAAGTATATATTTGAGGATCCAAGCCTTACCGGATTGTCCATTGCCTCCAGAACCTGTTCTGACAAGATGGGGTTCATGGATTGAAACACAATATATTATTGCGATCATTTTTGTCAATAAAGAAATATCGGCGCAACTGAGACAGGGTGGGTGGGCGGGGCTTATGATTTGACTTTTTTCTTCTTCATATTGTGAAAGAATACACCGTGTCATTGCACCTCGCATAATTTTTGTGTTCTTGCGATTTCAATAATTGTTAACCACCAAGAAATTAAATAAATAATAAAAAAAAGTAATCTAATCTGGCTTGAGAACGCCTACATTACCAAAATATTTCTATTGTTAACCGTAGAATTCACTTTTATGAATTTGACAGATTAGCATCCTACTTGATTTCAAAACATAATTTAATAGTAAGCGGTTGTCTATTGTGTCGAAATGGTGCAAGTTGTTAGTAAACTCCAACCCATATACGTGAAATGTAACGAATTGCATTTTTGGGAAAAAAAGTGTCGCTCGTGCCCTTTAAAACTGGCTGCCATAGTGGCCGATCCTTCTTTTAAACTCTATTCTATTTTCTGTGTGGTGAGTAGGCATTGTCAAACCTAACGAGAAACACATGATTGCCAACATAATTTTCTTAACAATAAATTTCAAAGCTTGCCAGACCACTTTTTTCGATCATTATATGATACAAAGAATTGTACATAGCGGCAACACGACTGCATATCAACACGTCGCTTGTGATAACACCAGTACATAACATACATAAGGTTTCGTTGACGTTGTGTCCTTGTTTCAGTTGACGCTGTTAATGAAAGGCCGCATCCCCACGAAAGACGACTTGAAGAAAACAGTATTAGGAGTGCTCCAATCCACGGCATTCTTAAGCGGAACGGGCTTCGGCTACTCCCTCTTTCTCTGCCTGCTGAGGTAAAACCGTCCCTTTGTAGCCCACTTACTGACGCTCGCCCCCTAGGAAACTCCTCGGCAACTTCAACATCCTCTCGGTATCTTTCCTCCCGGCTTTTCTCTCCAGCGTATTCGCCATCCTCATCGAGCGACCTTCCCGAAGAACCCTCCTGTGTTTATACGTCAGCAATGTCGCCACGGAGACCCTCTGGAACATGGCGCTGTCTCGCAACATGGTCCGGAACGTCAAATACGGCGACACCGCCATCTTCGCCGTGGGCATGGCTCTTCTCCTCATGTACTACAAAGCCGGCTACCACAAAGAGACGTCCGCCAAGACCGACCCCATGTTCGGAGTGTTGAGGTTCGTTTGTATATCTTCCAGAGTAAAAAATGCTCAAAGTTTCATAGGTTTGTAGTGGGGCCTTACGAGGAGAAAGACTACAGCGCCAGGTCGAGTCAGGCTAGTAGCTTCTACCGACAGCAAGCCCAAGACATTCCAAACGTGGGGTCCTCGAGGACGAGGTCGGGGAGTTGGCAAGGGCGCTCCAAGAACCCCGTTTTCCACGTGATAAGTCAAGCTTTGCGGGTGTACAAGAAGATTATTTACAAAATTAAGTGCTGTGATAGACACCTTGCATGCCCCCATCCGTTCAGTTGTTTGTACTATACCATGCAAGTAATGGGCGTGGCCGAGTGGAGAGCTTGTTCTGATTGGTGGGTTTCAGGGCGTAGGAAAAATGTTCACTATCGGTTTAGGGATTCAAGTGACGCTGAAGTTAGTCCTTAATTTGAAGAGGGTGATGCAGTCGCCGAGGAATCTTAAGACGATTCTGTTCAAGAAGGACACGCTCAACTTGGCGGCGTTTCTGGGAGGCTTCTCCGGATTGTTTAGGGTAGGTGTATGAGGTTATTACGTTTAAAATTAATACCCCCTTTTTGCAGGCCGTTCTATGTATTTTGAGGAGAACGACTGGTAAAGACAGCCCGTCGTACGCCATCCCGGCGGGCCTAATCGCCGGAGTGGCCTTCACCAGGTACCCCGACACTACAGTAGCCTTGTACGTCCTGTGGAAAGTAGCGCAGATAACATACTTAATGGGGATTAATAAGGGAATCGTACCACGAATACCCGGCTTCACGGAATTCCTCTACTGCTTCAGTACCGCCATTCTCTTCCACGCTGCTCTCTTAGAACCGACGAATTTGAGGCCGAGTTACTGGAAGTTTTTGCATTCGATTTCGGGCGGAAGGTACTCGGATGGGCTTTTTTTTTGGTTCATGTTTAATTGTTCGAGTTTCAGGATTGCCTGCATGAATCGCGAACCGTTGGATGTTTGGGGACTAGGTACTACTGAATCTCTGGAACGCGTTTTAAAATTGACCAAGACCCAGGCGGTCTTGAAGTAGGAGAGTACTCGCGGTTGCTACGTGGACCTAGTCAAAGTGGGTGTTAGTTTCCAAGTTTTCTAAGGAATACATTAAGTCGGATATTTCGTGACTTTGTTGTTGTTTGGTATTTTATTAAGGGTAGCACCGGTTTTGGGCGAGCAACTCTTCTTTTGTTATTATATTTTCATATTTTTAATAAATGAGGTTTTTATTGTCTGGGGGAGTTTCACTGTGAAGTTATTTCAAGTTGGCAGACCTGTCATCATCGTCCCACCAAAATCAAAGATTTTGCTTATCGAGGGAGTACAAATGCTAAATGAATGGTGTAAGTTCATAAGAAGGTTGGTATAATAATAAACTGACTCTCCTGGTTATGCTTTTCAAATAAGTACGGCACAGAAAAAAATTATTCAACATTTAACGAGACACTTATGTGAAGTTTTAAAAAAATAAAAAAAATGTGAAATCAGCTTGTTGTGTATTTTGGGTTGCGTGATTCTTCCGCTTCTGTACTTAAATGACGTTTATAAACGGCCAAGCCGGCGAATTTCGATATTCGACTTCGGACCAGGATCACGTATCGTCGAGGAGGTGGCGAAAGCTTGGAACGGCGCCTGATTGTTCGAATGACAGCTGAGGTATTACAGGTTTCTGTAACAAATGTCACATACGGATCCGGAGTAATTCTCAGAGACCTCTTCGACTTTCTGTGATCCTATTAGGCGAGGCGAGAATCCACGTTGTCAGCGGTTTTAATTTTCAGACTGCAGAATACCAAAGCCAGCGAATCTCGATATTCGGCCTCGGACCAGGATCACATATCATCGAGGAGGTGGCGAAAACTAGAAACGGCGCCCGATTGTTCGAGTGACAGCTGAGGTATTACAGGTTTCTGTAATAAATATCACATTCGGATCCGGACACAGACCATTAAGCAAATAGAAAGACGTTCAAAAACCACTACGATTTAATGTGGCGATTACAGCGCTGCTCGAGCTCCTGCATGAATTAAATCCACTGATTACTAGATTATAATTACTATAGTAGTAATTTTATTTTTAATTACAATTTTAATTCTATAAAAATGAAACTAAATTCAGTAATGAAAACATATATTTGATAACAATGACAAAATTACAAAACAACTCTCAAAGAAAAACAATTTCATTTCGAAATACCTAAAAAAAATAATTTAATTACAAACTGCTTAAAAAAAACTCTTGAAACTACGGGTAGGTGTTAATTTTAAAACCTATTTGAATTATTAATTCTTCTACGATTATGTACTTCAAATTGTTTTTGCAGATTGGTCAATTTTTTATTTATTATTAGACGCACTGCCAAATTAATAATTTCCGTTCTTAAATCAGCAATATGAATGTCACAGTTAATCCAAGTAAAGTTAATTGTTGCTGTTATATGTTCTTTTAAATTTCTTGCAATATTTGGAACTTCTCCAAAATTATCTAAAAAGAAGACTATGGTATCGTAAATCTCAGCTAAGCATGTTACAAATTCTTTTGTAGCATATTTCAACCTTAATTTTTGATCCTGTTCTTTGTAAAGAGTGAAAATATACAATTTTTACAGTCTTTACATGTGATAGCTTTTAATTTTTTTATTAAAAAGCCACAAACATATATAATAGCCTGAAGATCATATAAATTTTTAAATGCAGCTCTATTAGTTGAGCTAGAATTTTCTAAATTTACCAACTCATTGATATTTTCTGTAAACTGAAAATTTGTTGGTTTTGATGACGAGGATAAAAATATTCTAAGATTATCGAGAAGTTTTCCTACATCTTCTTCACAATTCTTACCATATGCTTGATATGCTATCAAATTATTCAAAATACTTGTTTTTAACGCCGATATAAATTGAAAACACGATGGATTACTATTTCCTGAACCGTATTGTCGTATCACTGAAAATAAATTTTCTAGAGGATCCTGATTCAACATTCTTGTTCGCAAAAATTTGAATTCATTTTTTTCACACATCTGCCAAAGAAGTCTAATTCCACGAATGTTATTTAACCAACCTTCTTTAAAGGGCATAGTTGTTTTGAATTGACCACGTACTTCGTCATAAAATTTCCAACTTTCGATTTTTTTTTCCATTTTATTCCAAAAATCAAAATGACCAGATTTCTTTGTTAAAGCACATCTTAGCTTTGGATTGCAGTGGTTGTTACGCATATTAATAATACCAGTGGAGTTGAAACTGTCGAATAAATCATTTGCGTCTTTTACAAAGAAAGCCGTTTCGATTGCTTCTGAAGGAATATTTTCTTTTGAATCTATTAGAGTTTCAAGTGCAGCTGCCATACTGGCACTAAGTGTTTTTGCTGCAATTGACACTTTCATCTTTAATAATCTATATCTGTTCACGTAAAGAAAGGGTTCTCGGATTTTATGCAAAGTTTGAAATCTTCGAGTACTATCAAATTGATAAGCTTGTCTCAAATACATAAATTTAGCTTTCTTGGTTTCATCATAATAAATCGTATATTTAAGGAGAGCATTTCTTAATGATTTCAATAAATGGGGACTATCATATAAACATACAATTTTTTTTTAATTTACCTTAAAGTATGGTTCCTTATACTCTACAATTATTAGTTTTAATTTTATACTTTTAATAGAGTCCTTAACAAAATAGTACGCTATTGGTTGTTTCCATCCGGAACTAATACCTTGTATCATAAATACTAACGCATGGTTAGCATAATTTTTATTTCGTCCTAAAGATCCCAAATCCTCAAAACCAATAATTTTGTCAGTAGATCTCGAATAGGTTAAATTTGTAGATAAAGACACTTCATCAAACATAAGCTTGCATAATCGATCTCTTGGTTTCAGTTTCTCAATTCTCATTTTTAACTTATCAAATAGTTCGTCATTCACGCCACATTCAAAAGGTATATTTTTCAAAAATTTGTACAAAGTTGTTTTTGACGGAAGTCTGAAAAAATGTTTTAAAAAGCGATAACATTTTGGACCTCTTTTGTACATAGCCAAGGCAAATATTTTATTTTCAGTTGACCATCTAGGAATTTTTTTTTTCATGTTATCAAATTGGGATTTTATGAAGCTTGTAAAATGTTAATTAGATAATTTTGGGGAGCACGTTTTAGAAGATCCAAGTTTTTTTTTGATTTACATAATTTTAAATTTAATCTGTTTATTGCCTGTTTCTGGCGTTTTGTTATTCTAAATAAAGTTTGCTCTCTAGGAGTTAAGTCGTCCACTCTTTTGCATCCTACCTTTTTCAAAACACTGGGTGAATATTTTCTTTTTTTCGGAGTATGTGATATTGTCGTGAGAGTATCACAATGGCGTTTGCGTCTTTGTGAATTTACGCTACCATCATACTCAGATTCCGGAATAGTTCCGACTAAAAAAATAAAAATTTTATAATTTTTTTGTTCACTTTTACTGGAATACCCATCACCATTAGTATTAATCACAGCTTGACTACTGTCCTTAAAAATAGTGGGAATTGCGTATTTATGAAGGTTCGTTTGTGCGGTGCTCGTAAAGTAATTTTTACTGAAATGATCTTCACAAATGTAAGCTTTTTTACAATTAACAACAATTTTTTCTGTGCAGGAGGCATTAATGGTATCTATCCACTTTTGTTTTTGAACTGGAGATTTAGGAAAAATAAAAAAATGTTTATTTTTGTTCTTGTTGATTCCTGTTGCGTATACTGACGGACAATTTGGAACTTTGCATCGATATTTATTAATAATTTTCATTTCCGTTGTATCTGAAGCAAGTAAAACTATATTAATATGACTTAAAAATAGCAGATATAATAGCCACCAAACTTACTACTGAAAACCTTTTGAAAAAATTATAATTTGGCGTTTGAATTTGAATGACGTTAAAGGAGATATTTGTTGACAGTAAACACGATCTATTACGAAATTTACACGAGTATAAGCGAATGAGTGTTTGCTCCAGCCGCTCGCGCAGCGCTAGTGTCGCTTCCTAGACTATACGATTAAATGGCAATGAACTGTCTTCCTATTTGTTTAATGGTCTGTGGATCCGGAGTAATTCTCAGATACCTCCTCGATTTTCTGTGATCCTATTGGCCGAGCGAAATTAGTCGAGCGAAAATCCATGCTGTCAGCGCTAATCTATGGTGTCAGCGCTAAAGCCAGCGAACCTCGAGATTCAGCTTCGGACCAGGATCACATATCGTCGAGGAGGTGGCAGCCATCATGTGACCATAATGATAGATGACAGCTGACAGCTCTATTACAGGTTTCTGTAACAAACGTCAAATCAGGAGTAATTGTTTGCAGTTTCGAAACCTCCTCGCCTTTATGTGATCCTATTAGGCGAACGAGAATCCACGCTAAATTTCCCAATTGTGACCCGAACGAACGAACACCCCGGATTTTATTTATTAAAAAACAATACAAACAGAACAAATAATCAAATTTTATGCTGCATTAGCTTTGATTGTGCTTTTATTTACTGCTATTTTTGTAATACTTTGAGAACTTTTGAAATGGTCGACAGATCTTCCCTCGCTCCAGTGGCGTGAATAACATCCCTGCAAGGGCGTAAATTTCAAGAAGGCACAAAAACTATGTACGAAATAAATGTAGACATTTATTCAGGTAACTTATACATTTGATTTGAATTAAATCAGTTGGTCTTCCTGCACTTTTCTGTCTTAAAACACTTTCGATTCTTAGATAGTACACTCGATGGTGGGGCCTTGGAAGGCAAACATTTTCAACATCTGGTGGATCCTCTCCAAAGGAAGCGTGTTCAAGTTCATCAGCACCATTGTAGACTCCGGACTCATAATAATCCTAACTAATCAAATTTTGGTTTAACAATTTTGGACAATATGCATTGTTGGTTGCAGAACAGAATTTTGGTTGTATTACTTTTGTTCAAATTTAAAAATTAGATGAAAGTTAAAATGATCACAGATACTCGATTCAGATGTTTATTTGCTTGTTATTTAGATTAAACAGACTTGATTTTATTCTAATGTTCTAGCTCATTGATACAAAAGAAATTTATATTTATTTTTGGTTGGTAGTAACTTTGACAGAGCGCGCCAACTTCAGGTAGTTCGCGTCCATCGGATTTTTTAAAATGGTTTCTGTGCAACGTTTAATTGCGTTTTCGGTTGGATTTTTTCAAAGGACATCGGTGTTCAGGTAGGATTTTCGTTTAAACCGC